ATATTTCCGACACGTTCGCTTCGAGCCGAGCAGGCTAATGCATCTTTATTTGTTTGCCCTTCGTCACCCCTCGTAACTCTTCTCCCGTCTCTGTTCGACTCGGTGGCCAGCTTTCTTTCCGTTTCGCTCTCTCCGTCGCTCTCCGCTCACCCCTTTTTGCTTCCCGCGCTTTTCCGAGCCCGCGGTCGCGCCCGCGAGCCCGAAATGATCGATATTCAAGGCGGCCTCGCGGTTCGCACCTCGGAGATCCGAGACTCGTCGATAGTCTTTCCGGCTCGTTTCAGGTTATCGCTCCCCCCGGCTCGTTCCAACTCCCGTCCCGCGCTTGATACACAAACAGCCGGCGTACACGATGCACACGAACCCGCGCGAGTGTGAGTGCGAGCTGCGTGTACCGCGGGACGCACGCGAGTGTTACGCGACGCTGTGAATATAGAGGGTGGCCCTTAAGTACGTTGACTAGAATCCTTGGGAAGATCGGCTTCGGTTCTACTCGAACGTGGGAAGATGTTGATCGACTAATTGCATTTTCGCTCGATTGTGTTTGTCTTTCGAAGTTTGTTTCTCTATGCGTATCGGTGCGCACACTCGCGGAGGCGTTGTTGTTCTTACGCGCGTGATTCTGGTTGCATGAATCGTACGCTGGGAATAACAGGAAGTTGTTAAGTATTCCGAGACGATGACTGGGTCACTGGTGAGCCGGGAACGTAAACACGAGACGCGCGTATGGATAAATATATTCGATGCGTTTATTCGTGCTGTGCCGAGTTAATCAAGGGACAGGGATTCGAAGTGATTGACGGATCCCGCGATGAAAGCTTGCCAACGACAGTCAAAGAAACTTATAAGAATACACCGTCTAACTACGTGCAAACTGTAGCTATCTATTCCCAGCTACATTTCACGACACTCTCCAAACTCAACCAAAAAAATTCTAAAACATCTATCTACCCCTCTGCATAGTTTCCATCCATACCCCTCAACTTAATGACAATTGAAAAAAGTTCCCAACCCACTACACCCCATCAACCCCTAGAATTGAAGTGGTCGTCGAACAAACGGCAAAGTTCGTTCATTAAAAAAAGAAGGAAAAAACAGAAAGGAGGAAGAGGATGATGACAGGCCTAGCGACGAAAACTTTCCAGCGACGAACTTTCTCGTCCAGACCCGATGTTCTTCCGACACCCCGTATTATCGGCGAACACGAGCGAACGTGTACACACGCGAGGGCCCCGGCGAACTCGACCACATACCGTACGTAATGTACACCGCATGCGATCCGCGGAAGGGATGTACATATAATCGTACGCGCGCGCGTCTAGACTCAACATAATTACTCTACATGTCTGCTACAGATTGCTTATTGTTGCGCGTGGCTTCTCCTTCTTCATCATCCGCGCCCCCTTCCTCCCGT